TACTTCAATTTTCGTTTACTTTAAACTATTTAAGTTTTTAGAAACGTGTTTCAAAATCTTATTTATCTGCAAAGTAAGCACGTGATTTCATATAGCTTTCAATAGAGCCCCTGAATTAGACAGGCCGACTTATCATTTATTTTTGGAGCAAAGAGCTAGCATAATTAATACTAACATAACGTTAACTTGCGAACTTGTTTGCTCCAATATTGCTTGATAGGCTTTCAAAATACTAGTTTATGACGTCTACCCTAACTTGCACCTGTCCACGTTCATTTTATTTATGCTTGCTTGGCATGATGAGACTAAGTTAAATAAGGGAACACCTGCAAGTGACATAGTATCTCGATCCTGATTGGTTGTTGAAACGTAGCATTTGTTTACGTAAGCAACTATTCTTTCCATTCTTTTTCGAGTAATCCAAGTGCGTCGAATGTCAATTCTCTTAATTGACACATACTATATTCTTTCACTAAGATTTAAAATTTCTCACCATATATTTCTTATTTAACACATGTAGTAACACACACGGAGCCATATAGAACATAGACAAACTAATAATGCATCGAAGTTGCCAGGTACACAAAGCAAAAATATATCACGGTTACAATAAAATACATAAAATCTAAATTAAGTAAAAGACTTTGACGAGAACAAATTATATTTTAACAGATTCGATGTGAGGTACGGCGTTGTATTTAATAAATGTCTCGTTTGTAAACAATCAGCTGGCTCTGAGGTGATAGGTCACCTGTCTGTGTATCAGTGATCGTCTTCTTTTCAAATTGCAAATACCCAATTACTCAAGAATTACTATCAGTGAAGCGCTTTCTTTGATTAAATGGAGCTGTAAGCTGGAAAATATCACTGGTGTTATTTTAAAAATAATATTAAAAAATCGTCTGCAATTTGAATTGCAACAAGGCATACTGCTAATCCTATGAAAATAAATTGGTTTACAGATATCCGTCCTAAACGGACTAATAAAAATTTTGTACCGAAACTTTTTTTTCCCTAAGTAAACACGAGTTTCACTTCCCTAATTATTTCTTAGTCTTTTGTTCTTTCTTTGATTTCGTTGCATCAGTATAGTTGTTTCTGGCTCTTATGCTATTGAACATTGCATGCACTCAACCTACCAATCCTTTACATGTCATTTTGATATATTTATTTGCTTGTTTCCTTGTTTTTATCTGACCGACAGTCCAACTAAAATGTTATCTTCAAATTAAAAAAATAAAGTAATGGGCATTTTTTGTGACAGCCATTTAATTTAATTATCTAAAGTTTTCATGTATGTCGGATGCATGTATTAAATATTTAAGTGTGTCGTACGAGTTCAGCCTAATCCACCCAACTCCACATTTTATCAATCGATAAACCCAAGTGAGTGAGAATTTCACTTTGTAATATCTTCTGAATCTGCTACTGCATTCGAAATAAATATATAATTCCAGAATCCTTGACAGAATTGATGCAATAAAATGCACAAAATGAATGTCAGAAAACGATATTTAATCGGGGGGAAAAAAGAAATACTTTATCAAAAACTGACCAATCGTTTTAACGAGAAATGGAAGATTCAAAGCGTCAAAACCTATTAGAATGCCTTAGAACGCTGGGTAGAAAGACGGATAAGAAATATCTTTAAATTTCATTGAACAGTTAAACTAGTTTTTTATATTAATCTCATATTTCTTCATAATTATTAATCCTTGTATATATATATATATATNTATATACAAGGATCTTCAAAATTATTTATTGCCGTTTATGATGCTTCTTAAACGTAAAAACTGTAAAAGGATGATATCTGCACATTACAAAATATTTTCAAAATCATTTGCCATACCTGAAACTGCCCTTTATGATTTTAATTGCTTGTTAACGTCGCCTTAGAAGTGCACTAGTAGTTATTGGTGGTGGTGACTGTTTGAAATTAAAGCAGGCATTCGTATTTTTACAAATTCGCGTAAATAACACTCGGTAGCAGTATATACTCCGGCTGCGAAAAAAGAATTCAATAAAAATGTTTTTTTCCCTTGTCAATAACCTCCTAATCTGGAATTATTGTTGCATTTTATTGTATGATTATAAATAGAGGAACGTGCTTCATTATCGAATTTGAAGAAAAATGGTCGACAATTATTTGTTGTTAATTATACAAAGTACCTTGAAGATATAATCCTCAATATGTCATGTCATCAATATAATTTTAAAGCTTGTTTTTTTTTCTTTTCTTCTGGCTCTTATTAGTTAGCAGATGATTATTCCATGAATAGGTTCTATTTTTCTGCAGTTTTCATTACTCTCTACGTCGTTGACAGGATGACAGATTTTGTTTCTGCTAATAGCATATCGGCAAGCATTTGTAAGCCTTCATTTCTTTATATTCTGTTTACTTTTTAGAAGACCAATTACCCACATCGATGATAGAGTAATGATAATTAAGGGGCCTTTTCTTGCCCAGTAGTTGGGAAGATTTGTAGACATTCCTTCTGCGTAGGTTTCCGGTTTGGGCGTGACCCTCGGGTTTTTGCTGGGATGGGTATTTGCAGATCTTAAACTTATTGAAGTTCTGAAGAAAACAAAAACTCATAAAAACAGACGAGGCCGACATTGTTGAAAAACGTTCTTTTCTATGCATGGAGGAAAAGCTTGTTTTCGTTTGCTCTTTGTTTTATTTATTTTTTTATTTCGTGGTATTTCTGATGATGATTAAGTGCCAACCGCCTCGAGAAGGTTTAGATCCAGGCTCGACTGACAGCTTAAATGCTACCTGTCCACTCAATAACTAGGCGGCAAATCTTTTGAGTAGTGGTGGCAACATTGGCCACATCGAGTTTTTCGGCGTTCCATCGCCATTTTTTTCCCCCTTCTTTTTCTTTATTCAGTTTATCGATAGTAATCACATTTGTAGATGAAATAACTCATAAAAAATGAAGATAGGAATAACTGTTGAGTCATGTTTGAGGGAGGGAGGAAAAATATAAGGAAACTAATGATTTGACTTTGCTGTAGATCGAACCTTTTTCATGCCCCTTGTAGAACATTCAAAACATAGTTAATCACTGCCATTAAAGTACTTTGAGATTTTTGCTGAAATTTTTAAAATCCGGGTAATGTTTTTTTAAGCCAATTAAGCTTAATACTTTTTATTTACTTTTTGATTAATAATGCTATTATATTCAAATGTACTAAGATATAGGTATTATCTACTAAGACAGGACTCACCCCCAAATGTTTATTTTAAATTTTGCTATGTGGGGAGATGGACGTTACTGTTTGTTTATTCCTTATCAATCACTGAATAATTAATATGTTACCGCCGAAGTGTAGAAATCAGTGTTATTTTGCACTTTATCTAGCTAATGTGCGGTTTCACTAGGGTGATCCTTTAAAAGTCAGAAAAACTGTTTCATTTCTCGAATTGACTAGGTAATCTGCGAACTACCTAGATAATCTGCTCATTATCTACTAGGCACTCATAAAAGTGAAAAGAAAATTGGAAAAAACCGTTGCTGGTGCAAAAGCAGCATCTTTGTGCTCTTAAATTTAAAATGTTTTTTATTTACCTCTCTAAATAATAGTTCCAAAAATCGACTTTATTTCATCCCGAAAAACAAATATTTGCAACAGATAATTATACCATAGTCAGGGAATACATTTTTTCTTTAAACTAAGTTATTTAAATCTACGGTCGTATTATTATTAATGGTAACATATTCTAAGTTTGTGTGATAATATGTATTTAATGCAAAAAAAAAAGCTTATTTTACTACAAAACCAATTGATTAATTCGGTCAAGTATGACACAATTTTAACTACCAAATTTTCATTTAATTGTACCAGTACGTTTCTTAGTAATGGTGACTCAAAAATCTGGACTTTCCATATTATCTCATAGTATTTCTTTTACACAACTACTGGAGTTCTTGTGTTGAGGAAACACTGCAGAATGGAAGAAAATTTTTATATTTACCAAAATTGTTAAAATATTATAATATAGAAGAAGATAATTTTACTAATGATTAATGTTATAATTAATTATAAAAGTTTCTATTTTATCTGAACATTCTTTCGTGAAAGGCAACATTTTTCGCCATTCAATCTATAATCGAAACTTTAAAAACTTGCCAATATTAACAAACAAAAGTAAATGAATAAAATAATTAAAGTATACTAAAATTGAGAAATATTAATTTTTGTATTTTTGTATTCAGGTATACTAAAATTGAGAAATATTAATTTTTGTCAGACCAATAACGCTGCTGGGCAGCGGTCGTCAAACGGTGGACTTAGGACCACTGATGGTCCGTGAACGAATTTTTTATGTTCGCGAAAAAATAAATGAACGAGGATTCCTGCTTTCCCATTGATCTGATGAGGTGAAGTCACGCGGATTGAATATTATTATGTACTTTTATTTATTAAGCAAACTTTACTTAATCAGTATTATCATTCAACTTTACTTTCTCGATCATTATCATCATTCAACTTTTCTTTCTCAACCATTATCATCATTCAACTTTTCTTTCTCATTCTTTATCATCATTCAACTTCTCATTCTTTATCATCATTCAACTTCTCATTCTTTATCATCATTCAACTTTTCTTTCTCAATCATTATCATCATTCAACTTTTCTTTCTCAATCTTGGTCGTCATGTTAATTTAAAATGTCTTTAAGAATAAAGTACTTTTTTCAACAGTAGCTGAAATACATCAATTTTGTTTTATAAGGAGACATTTAGAAACGCTCTCTCTAAATCATATGAGTTCAAAAAATTGAGGTGGTGGTCCGCGAGGATCAAAAGTGAGGCGATCACTGGCGTAGGACATGCTATTTCGTTTTGGATCTGACAAAAACTGAGTTGTTTTAACCTTTTTTGTCCTATTAAAAAATTTTGTTTTAAATTTTTCTATTTTTTTATATTGAACTTCTTCAGAATACATTAATGGTGTTCTTTTTTTAAAGTGATTTATCTCTTTATTTTATAGGGATAGGAGACCAAGCTCGCGTTGTCCTTCAAAGTCCAGATTCTCCTGAGGAATTGAAGGAAGGGGGTGAAATGGTCCTGAGATGCAAAGTGGAAGGAAGTTCTGAAGTTCGGTTTGAGTGGTTCCACAATGGTCTGAGACTGTTCAGGAATGAAAGAATCTCTTTCCGGAACAAGCGTTTACAGGTTGCATCCCTCACACCATCAGACAATGGAATATACTCTTGTCGAGCAATCAGCGATGTGGGTGTTGTTGATAGTGCTGACAACTTTGCTTTGATTCTACCTAGTATGTTTTTGTTTTTTTAACTAATTACACTATTAAAGAATTTTTTAACATTACCATTTCATCGATATCGATAGCTCACATTTTGTGCAAAAATTGAAATTCAGGGATGGCAAATACCTTCCCTATTCCACAATGGATAAAACCATGGACAAACCACTCCAGAAGAAATAGGTTTCTTCCAGCCCAAGTTAAAAGAAATAAAACAAACTTTTAAAAAAAAAAATTATGCAGTTTATAATTGTAATCTTAATCTACACAGTTTTTACAAAAGCAACATTTTTACACCAAACTAATTCTTAGATATTATTTCCAGATAGGTAGTTCAAAATTCTATAATAGTCATTCTATTGCCTCACGTCATTCATAAGTAAAGTGAATATCTTAATAACAGAATTCATAAATATTTAACTGAGAAAAATTTCCAATTTTAAGAATTTCTTATTTTGTATAATACTTTCCAACTTTTTGATCTCCATTAAAAATTATTTTAAGGTAAATTTATTTCTTATTAAATATCTTGGCTAAACACAATGCAGCATTATATTTATTTTAATTTTTAGTTTATACTTATTTCTGTTATTGATTTATCTTAAACTTCTAACTTTTTTTCCACCTTGTTTTGCATTCCAAGTTGTTAATATTCTTTTTATTGAACAATAATGCTAAACTTGAGTTTCTTCCCTCATATTTTAGACAGCTTCTTTACTACAAAACCTAATGCTTACTTATGGCTGGTCTTTTGTGCATTAATTTTATCATTTTACCATTCTAATCAGTGTCATTAAATGTAATTTTCTACTTGTGCAATTTACTTCATTATTTATTTTTGCTTGTTTTCTGTTCCTTGTAATTCAATGCATTTCAAATATTTCATTGTTTAACTAAATTATTCTTTAGCTTTAAAATTATCATTTGTTCTAACAATAGAATTATTACTTAAATTAAATTATAAAAAAAAAGATTGATTTATCTATACATAAGTGAATCAGTTAGATATATTTTTTTTTTACTTATGATAACCTGAGTTAAGGTAAATCAATATGTTTACTTTTTTCTTACTATTCATTATTATTAATTTTAAATTCAAATTGCCTTACTTGATTGTTGCAGATCATTGTTTTCAGTAAAGTTTGAGATTCGGACAGTTATATGAAAAAGTAAATAACAAGGACAATTTGAAAATCTATATATTTATTGATAATGCTTCTATGTTATTAAGTTTTGTAAATATAAGTATCATTCTGTGTATGTTGTGTTATAGAAGTACATACTGAGTACTATATTTCTGTATAAAAGTTGTCTTAATTTATTTGTGTTAGCTGTAAACGGAAAAACGTTTATATCTGCATAACATTGCCTAACTTCGAAAATGTGCTTTGTTTATATCAAAAGACTGTGTATAAATAACAGAAAATAAAGTTAGCCATAAGTACTTCTGTACTTTTCTTATTTAATAATATATTTGTGTTGTATTTTAGGTGATACAGCTGCTCATATTAAAGTATTACCAAAAGATACAATATCTACCAGAAACGGATCTGCATGGTTCGATTGTGTGTTTGAAAATGCTGCTGCTATTGAGTGGTATACTCAAACAAATGATGTTCCATTAGTCAATAATAGCAGGTACATGTTTCCTATTAAACTGTTTGACGCTGTTTTTCGAATCTCTGCTGATGAGGAAAACTTTAAAAAAGCCGCAGTTTAGGTGCCTAGCACTTGAAGCAATGCGATAATTTTAAACTATATCATGATGCATAAAGTTTTTAAAAAGTGCTTAAATTTATTTATTTTCGTTTTTTAAAAGGTCTTGGAGGTGCTTTTTTAATTGGGTGTTTTTTAAAAGTGCTTAAATTTCAATTTTCGAAAATTTTGTCTTTTATTCATTACCATGTCGATTTTTGCTACGTATTATGCAAAGGCGTGGTTTTCACATTGTTCTATTCAACGTTTTCACAATTCATTCAAGTACAATCCATTTCGGGGTCCATAGCATATGAAAGCGCCAATCATTTTACGTGTTTGATGAAATACTTGCGGGTCCTCATGTGCGTATACTGAACGGGGTTCGGTGAGATTCTTGCACTCTCTTATGCAATTCTGCTGCATTTTGCAAGATACTCCCAATTTCATACTTCATTTTCCACTCTCTGGAATTGATCCGAAAAATCTCTCAATCTTTTTATGGTGGCTAATATAATCAAGAAAAGAGTTCTTTGTCAGAAACTAGTTATTTTATCATGATCATGTAAAGCAGTGTTCCCCAACCCCCGGACCGGTACGGGTCCGTTGATCAAATGGTACCGGGCCGCCCATTCCATTGAAACGGAATTTAAATTCCTAGGTTTAAATCCAAATTAAAAATATCTGTGTTCCATTAAAATTTTATTTATTTAAAAAAATTGGCCCCCAAAGGTAGTGACATAAATTTTTTAATGTTTAATGTAGCATTGTCTATGATTACCCCCAGATGGAACCGTCTTTAATTCCAAGGAAAAATGCTCAGGGTTANACTTTTGTGCAATTTTTTTATAGTAAAACTTTGTAATAAATTCTACTTATTTTGATTATTTTTATAAAATATAATTTTTATTCCTAACATAGAATATGGTTGGTATGTAAGAAACTGTACCAAAAAAGAAAAAGAAACATATTTTTAAAAAATGCATTTATTTATTATTTTTTTTTAGTGGTACACAGCGTCACGAAAAATGTAGTAAAGGTACACAAAAGTCATAAGTTTGGGAAACACTAATGTATATAGTGCTTGAAAATATTCTTAATCCTTAAAAAGTACTTAAAAGGTGCTTATTTTTTGTTGAAAGATTTGGCTACGTTCCCTGTATGTAATCTTGCCATAAAGAATTATATGGACTCAAGAACAAATAACTAAAATAATTTTAAAAGTTATTAAATTTTTTTTTAAATCGTCATTTTCCCACCTAGTTAAGCATTTTCAGAATCACTGCGTATTCTCAGTTTTTGCAAATTTTATGAGCCCAGGTAATGCAGCGTTGGAGTAAGTCTTTAAAGATTAAAAAATTAGACCACAAAAGCTTTTCATTTTCACAAAACTTAAGCTTTTCTCTATATTGACGTTTAGTATCATTTAGATTGGCTAAACTTGACCTAACAATTGCAAACTCACATCAGTCATTAAAAAATAGCATATTATTCGTTTAAAAAAAAAAAAGCATAATTTCATATTATGACAGAGTCTTTGAAAAACAGCCTTAACTGGATACTTGCAACTCCGAAAGAAGTGAAGTGATTATGCTTAACCATGTGATTTAAATTGGTTATAATTAGCTATCTGTAAGCAACGTCATGTGTGTGTTGAATGTGATTGGCTTTTGAATCGACAAATTACACAATTTGCCTACAATGATGTCACTTGCAGGTATCCAAATGTAAATATTCATTTACAGTAATCTATTTGTCAATGTGTCAGGGTTGGTGTAGTATTTGATTTAAATCAAATTTAGCACTTGATTTAAATCAAGCAATTATGTAAAGCATTTACTTAAGTCAAAATATTTTTTTATACAATATAACACTATAATGTATAAGTACATTCTTAAGACTGTATTTTTAATAAAGTTAAAGAAATAATGACAAGCATATGTATGTTATTACTTGATGCTCAAAATAAACTAATAAGTAATAATAAATTGTGGATATAAGTTTTAAATTATAATTTCTGCATGTCAAATAATTTGCTGTTTAATGAAAATGTCTCAATTATCTCCATTTTGAATTTAGTTATTTAAATGCATGTACTTAAAACTTATAAAATATAATTATATAAATAATGATATTTAATTACAATTATGATGTTTGTTGTGCTTGCATAAAAATTGCATGTTTTTATTTATTCATTGACAGGGGTCTGTCTAGGCCAAATTAACTACCGTAGAGCGGTACATTCACAAATTCAACTTTAGGAAAAACGGTAGTTTCACAAAATACTCTTTCTTAAAATTTTATTTTTGTATTCCGTAAGAAAGGATAAATCTGTATTTTTGTGTTGATTTTTTTGATATTTTTAATTTTCACAAAATAGGTACCTCTCAGAAAAACCTAGACAGACCCCTGATTGATTAGTTTGTCGTAATTAAGCAATATTTTTAGTTGGAAATATTAAATATTTTAGCTATATTATTGTTTTTGAATAATATTAAGTATTATTAATACATTTTATCAAAGCTTTAAATTGGTAAGTTTTAAAAAATAAATTTTTTAGACCCTACCTATTCTGTTAAATATATTGGGTGTCTCAAAAATGTTGCAACATAGTGTTAGGGGAGTTTAAAGCACATCTCAAAAATTGAAAATTACATATTTTCCTTTAAATTATGTGCAAAGCATACAAATATGGTGTTAATCAATTGATATGTTGAATATTAAAATTATTCTTTTTATTAAACAGATTTACACTGTTTCCCAATGGTTCCCTGCACATTAAGGGTATATTGGATTCTGATGAAGGAATATACAAGTGTGTTGGTATAAGTGACATAAGCAAAGAAGCTCCTCAACAGATATATGCTGCCAGACTAAAATTAGCTTGTAAGTTCAATATACTCTTGTTTATAAGTTGTTTGGGTGATATTATCTTGTTTATAATGTCATCCAAAGTTGTTTAATTTTATGATCTTCTGTCAGAAATTTTTTCTGAAACACACTTTATTTTATTCTCCGCATTCTTAAAAAAAAAAAATTTCTTCTCTTTATGTAATTAAACTTTAATTTCTGTAACTGTCCTTTAAATTGTATGATTTTTTTTTTAATTGTGATCAATCTGCAAAAAAAAACAAAAAAAAAACAGTTCATTTACAAGGTAACCGTTTCTAGTAGAACTTAATCAAATAGTAACATTGTTCATGGAGTATTTTATTAACTTTTCTCCAGGTTGTGGCTAATTTCAGCTGCCACAAACTAATAGGTTGATAAAAAAAACTTGTGCCTTTCCTGTTGATGTGAGATTTTCATCAGGGTACTACAATATTTTGAAAAACAGGAATAATAAGAATTTAATTGTTATTTTTAAAATGTCATTTAACTTTGTTAGAAAAAGCTGCCTAAAGTAACTTTTAAGGTATGTTTATTATAGCTACCTTTTTGATTGCGCAATGAGTTTTAAATTTAGTGTAATTAGTTTAACACATTTTAATTCTAACCTTTATTTTAAGATTTTTAAGAATATTGTTTTTGGTCAAATTCTTAGATTTAAAATTTTTTGTAATAATTAAACAGATTTTCTATCAGCTATTGGAACTTTCAGGATTGCCTTAAAGAATAATAATTTTCTTTTTAATTACTATAATTTTGATGTTTTAATTCAAAATATTTTAAATACATTAAAATAGTTTGGCCGATATTGCAGCCCGCCTAAATAGGCCTATGTGGTGAAAATTAAGGATTTCTTTTTCAAAAGCAGGTGACATCACTTGAAGAATTTTTTGATCATTGAATATTTTTGTTTCGTTGTTCAGGATTTTCAAACAGGTGTCAGCACTTGATTTATAATATTTTCTTACTGATTCGGCAATTTATATTTTATTTTATTTTGAATTGGTTAATCTAACTGCAACTTTTACTATATTTATATATTTATATTTTGATTTATAAGTAGGCCTTTCATTTTTAAGTCTTACTTTGTATACTTTTAAGTAGTGTTTGCTGGCTCATTATTTTTCAGTGCTTTTCAATTCTGGTAATGATTTTCTTATTTGTCTATCCATTATGGGGCCTCGGGGCCCCGTCAGTTATGTATGGTTTTTCCACTGACAACAAAAAGGCTCCTATGTGTTAGTAGGAGAATGAAAACGTATAGAAGAACCCTTGAAGAAGTGCTGTCTTACAAACACACATGTATTCTATTTTATTTTTTCCTGCTTTAAAATTTTTTGAATATCTAAATTAGTAAGCGCCTAAAGTAACTTTTAAAGTGTACTTATTATAGCTACCTTTTTGATTGTGCAATGACCTAGTATTTCATATGTTGCAAAACAAATTATTGAGTTGTAAAATCGCTTTTAAAGCAGCATTCTAACAATCTGTTATCATTCCCTCTTATAAATAAACAAGGTGGTAATAAGAAGCTTAAGTTTAAAAATTAGATTCCTGGAAGTGCAGATTCTTCAAAATCCTGTCCTACTTTGTTTTAAAACCTTTTTTTTAAAAAAATATCTTTTCTTTAAATTAATCTGATTATAAATTAAACTCTACAACTTTGACTTTCATCTTGGCCCAATTTGAGTTAATGATTAATTATTTGTTTGTAAATGTTTAAAAGTTTCTATGCTTTTGTTTCGATTTTCAGATAATTTAAATTTTATTGTGGAAAAAAAAACTTTGAAATTTTGACTCTTGAGCTTTTTAGGCAAATGTATGCAAAATTTCTTGTTCATTCTATTGTGTTTTTATTTAAAACTATTGAGACTTTTTCATTAAGCTATAAAGATAGTATTCTAAAGTTTTAAAATTATATAAGCTTGAAGCAACAAATATTTTTGTACAGACTAAATTGCATTACTAAAAGATATTCATAAAGACAAAATATTTGTAATAAATATATATATTTTTACAATTTAAATATCCTTTTTTTTAGATATCAATTCTTTTGAGGATAATCCCTTTGAACCTCCAATTACGCACGATGAGTTAAAAGTTGTGGCATTAGGCAGTCAGTTTGAAGTGACGTGTGTCAATCCTGGTGGAACGCCAAAAGTACGAATCTGGTGGGAAGATCCCAGTGGCCACGTAATTAGCGATAGCGGACGAATTCGTGTGGATGATTCTCAGCTGATAGTAGATAATGCAAAGAAGACTGATACTGGCAATTATACGTGTGTCGCTACAAATATTGCTGGTGAAGAAAAAACATCTTTATACTTTTATGTTGCAGGTAATTTTCATATTTATTTTAACATTTTTATGCCAGTTAAAGTATCTGCATCTTCCACATTAAAATTTTTTCTGAGTCTAAGAGTTAACTATTTTATTTTATTATCTTCTAGAACTTGATTTATTTTACATGTTTGATTTATTTTATTTTAAATGTTTGAATCTAATATGAGTCCACATTCATAGTTGCCTACTCACGCTACTGGATTTTGCCAGTTTCTACTGGTTTAGTAAAAATTCTAAATTCTAATTTAGAAAATTTCTTAAAATTGAGTAAGTTTCTAAAAAATTCCGTATTGAGTAGAATTTTTCCACAGTTTATTCTTTGCTTTAATAATTAAATAAGTATTACTAATACATAATAAAGCCTTATTTATAGAAATTAGTTTAAAACTTTTTTTTGTTCTGAGTAATTTAATTAAAAAATTATTGATCAATTGCTTATTTGTGAGGCAAGTTCTCTTTTCCATTATCACATCATTGGTGACTGAATATTTAGGGCTGTTGGGTAAGATATGTCTTACAAAATGCTGTTTTTGAAATGAAACTACAATACTTTTCTTAACAGTTCTGAGCTGTCAGCTGACAAATATAAAAAATGGAGCCGTGATGACTTACAGGATAGAGTGTTCGCCTTCCAATGAGGTGACCGGGTTGGAATCCCAGTGATGACTAGTCAATACGAATTCTGCTCGCACAGACTCCAGTGCTGTTGTATATCCTCAGTGGTAGACGGATCATGGGTTAGTGTCCCCTTGCCCATGAGGCTAAACGTGGAAGGTTTTCATTGTTTTCCTTTCCATGTAACTCAAATGCTGGTTAGTTCCATCAAAAAGTCCTCCACAAAAGCGAAATTTCTCCCAGTACTTGATCCAAGTGTTCTCCTTGTCTTCTGAATTAGATTCAAGATAAGTCATAAACTCAGAATTAGGTCAACTGTTTAACATCGATTAATAAAATAAAATATAAAAAATGGGAAGCATTAGTTTCAGACTTTAAGAGAGAGATAAATTAAATATGCAAAGATGTGCATTACAGAAAGACTGCAATCCATGTTAATAGATGTTATAATATCTCTGTTTGGTTTTTGCCTTCCATGTTGCATGCATTTTGACTTTCTGGAGAGAAAAATTCTTCAGTTTGGGCTAGATGAGATAAAAGAAACTCTCCATGAATTTAAATACAAATCTCTTTTATTGATAAAATGGATGTTGTGCAGGTAGAGATGCCAAAAAGTTTTGTTCATTTCACTAACTTTGACTCAGATGCTGGAGAAGTTTAACAATGAAGAATGTTCAGTGAGATACACATTTCCAAATACACATTTTCGTACCAGTGGCGTACGCAAGGGAGGGGTTTACGGGTTTAAACACCCCCCTTGAGCTCAGACAAAATGGCAAAAATAGAAATTTTAGTAGAAATTATGCGAGCTATTATTTTTTAAGACAATATATTTTTATCTTCCTTATGCCTACTTTTTTTTCTCACGATATTTCTCAGAATACTGAAAAAACATTTACTATAATAGGGTTGTACTTTTNTCCAGTTACTTCTGTTAGGTGGTTAAAAGATAAACAACCATTTAAAGCCAGAAATGGGCATTCACACATCTATTCCCACAACGGCACACTTTTTATTCACAAGGTTGCTCTGTCTGATGCTGGAGATTACTCATGTGAGGTCATCACTAATGGTTTTCCACCTGTTACATCTGAAGAAGCTAAATTAGTAGTTAAAGGTACTTTTAAGATGGAATTTTTTAAAAAAAAATTATTGTTAAATAATTTGGTTTGAATTGTTGGAATATAGTTCAGCTTTTAAAACATAGCTAAATGAAGTATGTAAATTGTTATAAATGTTTTATTCAATATGCTTTGTCTTCACCATTTTACTGCAATTAAACATTTGAGAAATGTTAAAATCAGTATCTTAATTGTTAAATAAATGGCAATAATTTTTACTTTTCGTGTTTTGATTATTTAAATTTATTATATTAAGTATGTCCTAGAATTAAATATATCATTTATCCGTCTGAACGTAATTTAGTCCATATTTTTTTTATATTTTTTAGGTTGTTAAAGAAATCTAGACACAGTAACATATTAAATATGTTAATTGTTCAATAAATATGCAATGTTTCTATTCTTTTATACACTTTTTTCCTGTGTATCTTAACATTTTGTAAAAGAAGCAAAAGAATATATATATCTTTAAAATTTGTATTTGTTTTAATAAATAAGTAGTATAATAATTTAATAAGTAAAAAATAAATTTAAAAAATCTAATTAGTGATGTTTGATATTAGGTGTATTTAATCAAAAATGAGACACGTGGCAAGTTATTGCAAGGTGATGTTCTTAAGTATTTTTTTATTTCTTATGTCAGGTAAGCCTAAGTAAAATAAAATATTTAGATGGAATATGAAAGTGACATCACTGAATTAGTATATTTAAGCTATCTGACATTTTCTTTACAGTTGTACATTTGAAACATATTTCTGAAACTACCTTTCTAAGAATGGGAAATTTAAATAAGAAAATTTAAATTTTATACTGAAGTGCCAATCCATTGATAAATTCGGCGTATTGTCGGTCCATAGCGTATGAAAATGCTATTCGTTTTACATGATTCAAAATTACATGATTTATGCCAATTTTGTCAAAAACAATGCCCAAACATTTTTTTCGAGATGTTGGTTAAAACAAGATCAAACCGTCATTTGGCTAAAACTTTCCAACCCTGCCTAATAGTGATATTTTTAAGTGCTTAAAAGGTGCTTATTTTTGTTGAATAATTTGGCTGTTGTCAGTTTTAAAATGTTATAACACCCTGTTATAACATTTTAAAACTGACAAATTTAAGTATGTTTGTTTATAAAATATGTACCATTTAACAATCATTTCTCTTCTTTTTGTTGTGTATATTTAAATTTCAGGTTTTTGTCACATAATTAATACTTTTTGTTATTTTCTGCTATATCTGTAATTTGTATTTACTTGTCTGTTTATGACTAATTTTTCTTTATCTTTCTAAGTGGAATTTCTATTAATGTATTGATAAAAAAAAACTTTTTTTTTTTTCAGAACAACTTAAATTTGTACCACCTCCTGTTAGCACGCGACTAGAGTTGGGAGCTTATACAAAGATCTATTGCAAGGCCAGGGGAAATTCTGCCCCAGTTGTCCGGTGGAAAAAGATGGGTCAGCCCTTTTTTGATTGGCCTTCTCACATACAAGACGATAATGGGACTCTCACTTTCAAGGGAGTCACTCATGAAGATGCTGGAAAATACACCTGCATTGCTACCAGTTCTCAGGGAATCATCAATGCCACAATTAATGTTGATGTGGTTGGTGAGTCACATATGCATAGTTTTATATAATCATGTATGCTCATTTTGTTATAATCTAAATATTGTCAAAAAGACTTGTAATTTGTTTGTCACACAGATTTATGTGATTAAAATTTATTGTTTGCTAATTAAAATACTTGTTTTAAAGCTGAGTTTAAAAATTAAAAGATCCATTTGTTGTTCATGTTCTTAAATATTAATAACTCTACTAACTTTTGTTCTTGTTTTCTTTTAATCTAATTATAATTTGTTAAATTGATATGCATATAATTTATGAAATTGGATGCTAATCATTTGTTAATTTTGGTATTTTATTTTGATATGAAAGTAAATTATTAAAGACGCTGGTTTAGTTTTTATATTGTTTTTGGATTTTCAAAGCTATTATTTTATGTACAGCTCATAAAAATATATTTACTCTAGCTATAAATATAGATATGAAAATTACTTTTGATTAAACGTTACAATTATAATAAATTTAACTTGATTTTAGTAAATGCTATGCAAAATCTTTAAGTTAGTTATACTTTTATACTTTCAAGCCAAACGAAAATTTTAATTGTTATTGCTATAAATATTTTAATATTACATTTTTCAGTTTTTTTTTTAAATACCATTATAATCTGTATAATTCATGAGCCTTCCTGAATATCATCTTGAGTTCGAAGTGATATGTTTGTTCACAATGGTTATCAACTATTGAGTCATGATTATTAATGACTGTACACAGAATACTAGTTCTTTCCATCTTACAGTTAACTCAAGCCATACTTCTTAGCCATAAATAAATTTATGATCTAACTTAGTATGCTGTTTCATGCAGAAAGCTGGATTGTCAACTTGTTTGTAGTCTAGAAAGAGTGCCAAAATGACCTTATACAACATTATAACACTATGTAAAAATTGTTATTTCTCATGTAGTATATTTGTAATGTTCTGGAATTCTAAGACAATTTCCCATATAAGTTGATTAAAAAATGCTTATGAAAGTCTAGAAACTTTTGTCATTGATTTCTGTATGTATAATTTTCTTTTTTAGTAATGCCAAAATTTGTTGTTGAACCTGTTGACACTCAGGCGTATGAAGGTTATCCTGCAATCTTGCATTGTCAAGCTTTAGGAGATCCCATGCCTGCCGTACAGTGGGATAAAAACAACATGATGGACAATTTTGACAAGAAACGTTTTCAAGTGATGGAGAATGGGTCTCTCTATGTTTCTGAAGTTCATATGGAAGATGAAGGAAAATATGGGTGTACAGTTGGCAATAGTGGAGGATTTAAGAGGGCAGAAGTAACCTTGAACGTCAAAAGTTAGTGTCTACTATGTGATATTTATGTTTAATTTTTTATTTTTAACCTGAAATGTTTGATTCAGAATGATTTTATATAAATTTTATACTTATTGCTTAAATTATACTTATTGCTCTGAATTAAGATACAAATCTATACGAAAAACAAAAATTATATTAAAACTCACGAATATATTATATTGAAATAGTTAAAATACAATACTAGTTTTAATTTTACATTGAAGCAACATCTATGCAAAATGCAGTAAAATGGAAACTAAAATGAATGGGTAGGAAATAATGAAAACATGAAATTTGTGATTTTTCCTCCCATTTAATCTGTTTTAGTTTTGTCATATTATAAAACCCCTGATGTATTTTGATGTCTAATAGCTCTCAATTTTTATTGAATAATTTTGTTTTTATTTATTTATTAGTGCTCTTTAGCAATATTTTTCATCACATTTTTTATATTGTCTGGTGTAGTAAGAAGATGCTTCAATGTAGCATTGAAACTTGTTTGTTATTTTAACACAGTATGTTAGTGGATTTAACATATTTGTTTTTCAACTAAAACTAATTATTTATCTTTTAGTTAACATTATCATGTGTTGAATAACACTTAAAATAAGTGTTATTCATTTTGCATTATCTTGTTAATATAAAAAAAATGAAAATCCATTTTATTAGTGAAGTGTGTTTTTGCAATATGATTTTATGAACAATTTCCATTACTGTAATGAATTAGTTAATTTTTTCTGTACAGGCCGTTATCAGAATTCATTATAATAAGTTCAATTGCGCTGTATTTTAACAGTCAAATTAGAAATCAGCATTGATCTTTTGTTTGTTTTAGCAAATGCAAATAATTGTAAAAAATTGAGTGAATAAATAAATTGTAACAACATCTGGGAATCTACACTGGAAAATTTATCCTACTTTTATGCAGAAAAACGTGAAAAAGCATTATTGCCATACTATAGTTTCAGTTCTATTAACAAAAACCTTCCCTCAGTGTCTTAACATCAAAAACAATTTTTTATTTATTATTATTATTTTGACTTTTAAATACTGAGGAATGTTCTTGTTAATAAAACTGAAACTATAGTATGTCAATTTATGTCTTTTCATTTGTGCTTTTTTTTCCTTAACTTTTTTTGCTTTATTCTACATAGTCAAGTATTTCCAATCCTTTGTTGAACCTTTTAACATTTTATTCAATTGTATTTGCAGGTGCTGAACATTACAGTCCAAATAGTGCTGGTAAAGGATTTAATACCGACGAGGATATACCCATGTCCAAAACTGTTGGAATCACATTAGGAGCTGCAGGAGTCTATATGTTTCTTGTGATTGGTTTAATGGTTTATTGCAGAATGAGAAGAGCTAGAAAGAAGGCAAGATTATTAGCAGAAGCTACTGCTGAAAGTAAATAATGTTCAATGTTTTTTTCTGTTTTTCCTGATAATCTAGATTTTATTATATTTATTTATTTATTGTAAAAAAAAAAGTTGAAATAGTTATCTGCATTGTATTATATTATATCTAAATTTTTATAAATAACATAATTTTATCTCAATTTTTTAATTTATTAGATTGTGAAGCATTGGCATGAAAGCAATTCGAATAATTTGTGGCTTATTTTTTGTAATAATTTTTTGTTATATTTTTTCCTGGTGCTTAGCATATTTTAAAGGTGCTTATTTTTGTTTTTTGAAAGCCCTTTTGGTGCTCTTTTTATGGCATGCTTTTGAAAAGTGCTTAATTTTCCCTTTTCGAAAAGGAGATTTTTTTTTCTTTACCATGTTGATTTTCGCTACGTATTATGTAAAAGCTTAGTTTTCACATTGTTCTATTCTATGTTTTCACAATTCATTCAACCACGATCCGCAAAATTGATCAAAATGTGTAATAAGTAAATATTTGTAATAGTAATCAGAATTAAACCTCTGAACGCTGATAATTTTACCAGTGTGTAATTATTATTTAAACAATGAATTAATTTTTAAAAAGAATAGAATATGAATAAAAAAGCAGTGTTTGTAAGGGATGGGCGGCTTATTTTTACAAAAAGGACAAAGTGGGTGCATTTATAGAGGTCAAAGGGCAGGCAGAATGGATCTGTTAGGGAGAACATTGCTAATACTGATTAAAAAATTTCAAATTAAAAGCTGTTAAATTCTTATTAATGGAATTCTTTAAGAACAAACAAATTGCTTCAATAAGCTTTAAACTTCAAGAAAAAAAAAATTTAAGTTTACTGTGGTCCATAATGTATGATAGCACCAATCATGTTTCTTGAAATACTTGGGAGTGCCTACTGAGCTGGGTTCGATGAGATTCTTGTACTCTCATGTGCAACTCTGCTGCAATTTGCAAGATATTCTCAATTTCAGGCTTCACTTTTCACCCTCTTAAATTAAGCCGAAAAATCTCTAGATCTTTTTATGGTGGCTAATATAATCAAGAAAAGAGTTCTTTGTCGGACACTAGTTATTTTGTCATGATCATGTAAAGTCTTTGAAAATTATTTTGTATTTTGTTTATGTATATAGTGCTTAAAAATATTTTTTAGTGCTTAAAAGACACTTATTTTTTGTTGAGGGATTTGGTTACGCACCCTGCTTTTGTTTTTATTCTTTGAAGTTTAATAACCCTTAGCACTTCATGGTCATTTAATGACCTTTTTTATTTTTATTTTTTTCAAATTGGAGGAGTCATCCCCTGTGCAGAGGAGTCATGAATTAATGCTAGTGTTTACTCGTGATGGCGTGTATTCGGATCATCATCTGGGATGTTTCCCAGACTGTCGCCAATACCCATTGTGCTGCTTAAATGCAACGTAAATAAAATACCTACCTACCTAATCTTTTTTTTATTAATCTTTTTAAAAAAATATTTATAACCCTTAATATTTACAAGATGTAACTCATTATTTTCACATTTATCATGTAATACCTAGAGGCCACAAAATAATATGTAACAGTGAGGACCCCCTCTGAAATGCAATGGGTTAATAATTTGTGTTACTTTTTTACTTTTTTTACTCTTTGCTACACTTTTTTTTTTTACCATAAACTAACTTTTTTTTGGTGAGTTCCTATTACTTTGTAACTTTTATAAAACTTTTTTCAATTTATTGAACATTAAAATAGTTGGAAAATATAATTGCTGTTATGTAATATATAAGTATTGTAATTGTAAACATGTTACTTGTTTTGTTATTTTTAATTAAATATTTTTATTCATTTCAAAAAATTTTGTTGTCTAAAATCAATTTTGTTTATGTCTTTCGGCCTTCATGAATAGTGTTCAAGCAGCATTGATTCATCAGNATGCTCCAGAGGAGGATTCTCATTCTCACCCAACACCATAGTTTGAGAGGAGCCCTTTCTTGCACTGATACAAGTTCCTCTTGTTGGAGTTCAATGTGGCTAAAACTAGAGAAATGGCAGATATCAAGCACTCTTATAATCAGATTTTCTTTGCGCCACAACTCAGCCACCAAACTGAAGATGGTGCTGTTTCAGGTCTCAATTTTTTTTTTTTTTTTTTTTTTTTTTTTTAAGCCCTTTTGGTGCTCTTTTCATGAGATGTTTTTAAAAAGTGCTTAATTTTCCCTTTTCGAAAAGGAAATTTTTTTTTTTTACTTTATCGTGTTGATTTTTGCTACATGTTATGCATGGTTTTCACATTTTTCTATTCTATGTTTTCACAATTCATTCAACCACGATCCATTTCGGTGTGCCATGGATCCGTAATGTATGATAGCGCCAATCATGCTTAATGAAATACTTGGGAGTGACTACTGAGCTGGATTCGATGAGATTCTTGCACTCTCATGTGCAACTCTGCTGCATTTTGCAAGATATTCTCAATTTCAGGCTTCATCTTTCACCCTCTTAAGTTGAACCGAAAAATCTCTAGATCTTTTTATGGTGGCTAATATAATCAATAAAAGAGTTCTTTGTCAGACACTAGTTATTTTGTCATGATTATGTAAAGTCTTTGAAAATTATTTTGCATTTTGTTAATGTTATATAGTGCTTAAAAATATTTTTTAGTGCTTAAAAGGTGCGTATTTTTTGTTGAGAGATTTGGTTATGCACCCTGTTTTTATTTTTATTATTTGAAGTTTAATAACCCTTAGCTCTTCATGGTCATTTAATGACCTTTTTTATTTATTTTTTTCAAATTGGAGGAGTCATCCCCTGTGCAGAGGAGTCATGAATTAACACTAGTGTTGACTCGTGATGGCGTGTATTCGGATCATCATCTGGGATGTTTCCCAGACTGTCGCCAATACCCATTGTGCTGCTTAAATGCAACGTAAATAAAATACCTACCTACCTAATCTTTTTTTTATTAATCTTTTTAAAAAAATAGTTATAACCACTTAATATTTACAAGATGTAACTCATTATTTTCACATTAATCATGTAATACCTAGAGGCCACAAAATAATATGTAACAGTGAGGACCCCCTCTGAAATGCAATGGGTTAATAATTTGTGTTACTTTTTTACTTTTTTTACTCTTTGCTACACTTTTTTTTTTTACCATAAACTAACTTTTTTTTGGTGAGTTCCTATTACTTTGTAACTTTTATAAAACTTTTTTCAATTTATTGAACATTAAAATAGTTGGAAAATATAATTGCTGTTATGTAATATATAAGTATTGTAATTGTAAACATGTTACTTGTTTTGTTATTTTTAATGAAATATTTTTATTCATTTCAAAAAATTTTGTTGTCTAAAATCAATTTTGTTTATGTCTTTCGGCCTTCATGAATAGAATGTTCAAGCAGCATTGATTCATCAGTACTGATATTGAAGAACTTGAATTTTTTTTCTTATTTTTTAATAAAAAAACATGATTATTTGCAAAATTTCAGTAGCACTAGTGTATTAATCACATTAAAAGATATCACAACCTTTTCCATCAAACTCTTGTTTCGAAAATTTATTTTGAATGCTCCAAAAAAATACATTCTTTGGTATACTTACTTTTTTTTATAAGTTTAAAGCTTATTAAAGCAATTTGTTTGTTCTTAAAGAATTCCTTAATAAGAATTTAACAGCTTTTATTTGCAATTTTTTTATCCGTATTATCAATGTTCTCCCTTAAGCAATCCATTCTGCCTGCCCTTTGACCCCTATAAATGCACCGTCTTAGTCCTTTTTGTAAAAATAAGCCGCCCATCCCTTACAAACATTGCTTTTTTAATCATATTCTATTTTTTTTAAACTAATTCACAGTATAAATAATAATTACACATTGGTAAAATTATCTGTGTTTAGAAGTTTAATTCTGATTACTATTACATATATTTACTTATTACACATTTTGATAAATTTGTGCAGCGTTAAATGAGTGCCTTTTTAAAACTTATAGTGCCTTGTCTTTTTTTTATTCCTCGGGAGAAGTCTGGTATTATCTTTATTAATTTATAAGCAATTAACGGAAGTTATTATTTGAATCAACTGAAGTTATTAATCATTTTCTCATTTGATATATACAATTACTTTATTATCTGACTCTCTCTCTCTCTCTTTCATTTTTGCTGCTTTTAAAATTAATCTTACTATAATTATTTATTAATAATATAATTTGTAAAATAAACGAGCTTTTAAAAACTGTGATAGCTGTATTTTTTAAGTTTCAAGTAATTCATCTTTACACTTTTATCAAGTTATGTATGCTATTATTTGCCAATAAAAGAGAGAGAAAAATTGTTAATTTTCTAACAAAACATTAATTTTCTTACTAAGAAGTTATTTCTTGACAAAAAGTTTGCAAACAAATTGAAAAGGAAGTTATATGTATCATAAAAGAGTTCAACCAGTTACCTATCTGATTTTATTACTTTAAGTACATATAAATTTGTTTCAATATAGCTGATTCAAGCTCTTCTGCATTAAAAAACATACACTGATATGTAGATAAACTTTAGTATTAGCAAATTTAATTAACATAACTTTTGAATTTTACGAAATTGCTTATTCATCCATACACACAAAAACCATTTATCTATCTTACTTTATTCAAATCCTTAATTTTAAATCAGTGGTTCCTGAACTTTTTGGTCTTGTCGACCCCTTGCCATGTTTTCCGGTTTTGGGTGGACCTCATATTGATTTTTTGTACTTCAAATGTATTTTTGACAGCTAGTATAGTGCTACTCACTGTGAAAGATTTAAATTTCTAACTGTAGTGTGAAAAACTTAAGAAGAAACACATGTTAATTTTATACATTTATTAATTAAATTCAAATTAATTTACCGCGGAAAAATACTTTTTTGTTACAAAATAAAACCTTACACACAGAGAAAATAAAAAAAACATACGCGGGCGGAGCTGCAGGCAACTGCTAGTTTATAATAATTCAGTTTCATATATCAGAAAATAATCCTAATAACTTAAATTTTAATAACATTTTTACTTCATTGCTACTTTTATAAATTATGTAGAATTTAGATATATGTATGTCTTTATATTATAAGGTAGTATAATGTAAGTAAATAGGTACTATCAGTGTATGTTGATTATTCCATTCATGAAATGCCAAAATTAAAGTCATGACTTGCTTATATGAGATCCACTGTCGTTGACCCCCATTTTCATTTCATGGACCCCCAATTTTTTTTTTCACTTGGCATGGACCCCTTGCAGGTTGTCATCGATCCCTGGGGGTCGATACAGACCACTTTGGGAATCGCTGTCTGTAGAAGTACTCATAAGGTATAAATTTTAGGTAAAGAAAAAAGACTAAGCATAAAGTTTCTTAGATGACTGTTTTAAAAGAACACAAATTTATAAATATTTTACAGAATTTAATAACCTCATTTTTACCCACAGCTAAGAGTGAAAATGGAACATTGCCCAATGACACAGAAATGAATGCTATTGTGACAAAACCACTAAATGGGAGTGCTGGGAGAAGTGATTGTGAAGCCCAGTCTCACAGCTCTGGTTCTCATTACTCAAAGAAAAGTCGTTCCTCTTTAGAAAAATCTCACTTTCCTAGAAGTGAACTTCAGACAATGATGCTGCTAGGTGAGTAGTTAATTGAAATGAATTCTAGGTTTATTTAATTTTAAGTTTTTATGTTATAGTTTCAGTTCAAAAAAAACATTATTTTTTTCAGTACAAAAAAAAAACATTATTTATAACATTATGTACAAAAAAGCATTATTTAAAAAATTATACATTACTGATTTAAACATTAGTTATATTTGGATTATGTCATGATTTATGTAATGGAAAAGCCCATGTCTTATTGAATTTATTTTCAAGCTTGATAATATAAAAAAAAGTTATTGTTCAAAGTTTTATAACAACGAAACAGAATGTTAATTAAAACTGATTTAAACATTATTGATATTCTTATGTTACGTTTTTATATAATGAAAAAGGCAAGTCTTATTAAATTTATATTTCAAACTGTTATATTACAGTATTTTTATTTTATCAAGAATAAACTAATTGTTATTTCGTTTTTTTAGCTAAAATCTTAATATTTCTAATTTTTATGGGTAATTCTAATTGTGCCATTTATAATTATAAATAGTTTCTAAAAATGATTACATTTAAACATATTTTCAATTATAAAATATTTCTAAAATAAATTTGTAATGTAAACAAGAAAAGCATATTTATTTTAAACTATACATGAGAAACATTATTTTTTGAGATTAGCTTTTATTTAGAAATTTGAGAACTAATTGTTAAAAAAAAACTAACTCAGTGGTATATAGTGCTATCATAGTTCTTTCGCCTAAAAGTTTCTGAAGGGAGTTGATTTTGTTATCTGTTATGTTAAATCACTGTTTTACCATTGATATTAGTGCATGGATGAATTGTTTTCTTGTTATGTTTAAAGGAAGAGAAAACATAGAAACCAAAAAAAATCATTTTCTAGAATTGCACACGGTGATAAAAACAATTTTGCTTATAGAACTTCATTATTTTCTATTTCATTAAAAATGTCCCTTTTTATAAAGTCTTGTTTACATTTGAAACATGTTTTTTCCCTGCATTCATAATGAGATAAATTATCATCAATGCCAAGAATTCAAAATGTTGTAAACAAATCTTTTTTCATTTGAGTATGAAGTCTATTCATTTCTGTTTTTGTTACTGTATCTTGAGAGAATGATAAAATTGTTTTGTCAAAAATATGCTTGTATAAATGTTTGTTGTTGGATCACATTTTGTCTAAAATTTTGTAGTTCATCTCAAAATAACATACATAATATGCATTCTATACTATTTTTTTTTTTTTTAACTTCAAAACTGCTGCCCTTTAAACTGCTTGCATTTTTCTTTTATTTTTTTTTATGTAAAATTTTTTTCTTTCGTTTTTTAGATAATTTTTAAATATATGACCTAGTAATTTGAATTGAAACTATGAGCGTGCTTTCTTAATAAAAATAGTAGCTAAATAAGAGTTAGCCTGTAAACATTGTTAAATTTTAAAGAGAATAGATCAAATAATTAATGCTCCTGATAAGGTTTAAGACAGTTTGATTTTTGAAGTTTAAGTTGGGCTGAATTTTTATATTTATGAAAGCTAGGATTGGAAATATGTTGTTTTTTAATGCAAAGAACTTGATAATGTATTATTTACAATACTTAATTAAATAGCAAAATAAATTTTATTAATGTTAAAAAATTTTGAAATAAATAGCTTTGTTAAATCACTTAAATTTGAATAAGGAAGAAATATTTGAAAATTAGACAATGTATTAGTTCGTTTATCAGGCATGTAATGACTTCAACAGGTTATTGATAGCAATATGCAAATGATGTTTGATATCATAAATTAAACTGAATGGTCACCTGTAGAGTGCGGACATCTTCGCCAGAGGGCGCTTCGCACACTCACCTCCAAAAAGTAATTAATTAAAATAAGAGAGAAGCGTTCTCGGAACTGACTTGTGAAGTCAGATAAAATCATGTCAATAACTTACCTTTAATTTCATATTATTTTTATATATGTTAATAATAAAAAGTGTTGTCCATATAAGTGATAGTTATTCATGAGAACCAACCACATAATAATCATAAGGAATATTACAGTCACCTACCCGAAAAATAATGATAGCCTAATAGTTCAATTCATGAAAATTTTGAACCTTTAACGAAGATTGTATTTTAATATATTAAAAGCTAAAATTTGTCTGTATTTTTAAGCTGTTAATTGAGTAATATCAAATGTAAGATGTATTTTTCATCCTTTATTTCTGTAAAAATGTTTTTTAAGTTAGAGATATTATTTTAGGTCATGGAGAGTATGGTGAGGTGTTTCTGGCCAAAGCAAAAGGCATTGTCGATCCAGACCAAGAGGTTGTAGTCATGGTTAAAGCCTTGCAGACTAGAGATGAAAACTCACATTTCGAATACCGAAGAGAAATGGATATGCTTAACAAACTACGCCATGAAAATATTGCTAAGCTCTTAGGAATATGTCGAGAGACAGAACCATTTTTATTTATAACAGAATACAGTGATTGGGTAAATATCTTCTTCAATATTTTTTTGAAAAAAATTGCAAAATGTTTTACGGTTAACAATAAAAAAAAAAATCTTCTCCTGAAATTTATTTTGTAAAAGTGATTTATGAGGTTCAATAAATGCAGATCCTATGCATAAATTGTGGAACTATCTAATTGTTTTACCCGATGTTCAAAATTGTTTGTAACAGTAAAAAAATAATTGTGAAATTTTTCTAGATTTTTTTAAAAAGAAAATAAGCAAAAGTTTTTAGCTATCGTATAAACTTTAATATAAAAGATTATAATTGCATTAACACTAAATAAAATCCGTACAAGAAATAGTGATCTTCAGATGTACTAGAAGATCTATATTATGCAATTCTTCTTTCAGCTGCAATCTAGCTGAAATAAGAATGTGTTCATAAGCTATATTAGCCAAACAATCTCTGAAGCAAACAAAAATTTTTAAATATTTTGGTTTTTAGTTTTAATGCTCATAATAAGTATTTAAGTTCTCATTAGTATTTAAAAATTATTTTAAAAATTACTATTAATCTGTTTCTGATATATATTGCCATGTTTAAATAGGAAGTTTAAAAATAAATGAAATGATCTTTATCAGTGGTCTCTAACCCCCGTATCGCTGACCGTTATTAGCCTGTGGATCAAATAATAGCAGACAGCCTAATAAACATTAAATTATTTCCATTTTATATATTGTAGTGTTTGTACGACTTCACATGAACAAAAGGTTAACTGAGAGCTCAGAAACGTCACAAAAAGCTGCACTTATACCTCGCATGTAATTGTATTTTATTTTGAAAGCATGTTTAAATACAATTAAATTAAGATTATTCAATCAAAACAATCTAAAATATAATTATCAATCTACTTACTCCCCTCAGCAGGCAGCATTAAAATTATCAAAGATTGACCGGTCTGCAGCTATAAAAAGGTTGGAAGCACTCATCTATATAACACAAAATTTTCAAAATACAAAAAATCATATTTCAAGGTTTCTGTTATAACGATCTTCTATTGTAATTGCAGTAACTTATTTATCATATTTTTATGAGTTGAGTATAATATTATTAAATGAGTATAAAAAGTTTCTACTATAGTGTCATCTATCCTTTAAATTTGATTTTAATAGCTGCCTATTGTTTTTGTATTGAAAGGTACTATAAATTAGATAAAAATTCTTCCGTAAAAACACCCATTTAGTGAGTTTTCAAAGTTCCTTTTATTTGAAACTTACATTCAAAAATAATTTAGATCCTAAATTTTTTAACGCTTAACTCTGTGTAACTTTTATGTATAATATTATTTATTTTTGCAGGGAGATTTGAAACAATTTCTCCTCGCTACTCGTCGAGATAATGTTTCTAGAAAAGGTCCCAAACCACCACCTCTAAATGTCCCACAGATGCTGGGTGTGTGCCATCAAATTGCTACAGCCATGGAACACCTATCCAACCAACGTTTTACCCACAAAGACCTAGCCACCAGAAATTGCCTTGTATCTTCACGTTTGAACATCAAAATCAGTTTTCCAAGCTTGTCTCGTGATACCTACGCCGAGGAATATTTTATGTATCGTAACAAGAACGTCCCTTTGAGATGGGCTCCCTCAGAAGCGATACTCGAGGATGAGTGGTCAACAAAGAGTGATGTCTGGTCATTTGCAGTTCTTGTGTGGGAGTTGTTTACACAAGCGGAACTCCCCTTTTCTGATCTGACCAATGAAGCTGTGTTGAGGTTCCTGGACAATGGGGAACTGAGGTGGAAGCCACCAAGTGGGGCACCACTGAGTTTGTGTTCTTTGTTACAGACTTGTTGGAGTTCTTGTGCCAGAGACCGTCCTACATTTACAGACATTGTCCAGAGGATAGGACAAGTGACTGTTGACAGTCATTTATAATTTTTACAATTTATGCCATCCTTAAACTAAAATTATTTAGTTCCACTAAGCTGGCACTAAAATATATGCAGCAAACTCTCAATTCTAAATATACACCTTACTGCCTGATGCCCGAAAACATATCTGAACCTTTTTTTTTTTTATTTGAGTATTGAGATTGCAAACTTATTGAATACTTTTACCAGTTAAGCCTTTCGACTTTCAACAAGTTTGTTGAGAAATCTCTTCTTAATACACATCTTTCTTATAAAATAACATGAAGGAAAGTAAGTTTTTCTACAGGAAAAACTAAAAGTGAATAGATATCTTCAAACATTCAGTCATTTAAAAATATACATGATCTTTATTTCTATTACAAAGCTTAAATAACATACTTATTAAATTTTTTTTCAGTTACAGATTTAAATGTGCATTTAAAATCTTTTGAATAATTAGACTCTATTGTATAGATACAATACTGTATGTTTCTTAAGACTTTTAATTCTTCTTAATATCGTTTCAGATATAAGAAATCAAAGTGATATATATATATATTTCTTTTAATTTTTTTATGTCAGAGTTCCTTTTCATTTTTTACTTCTAAAATTTTATTATCATGAGATCAATATTTGAGTGAATAATAATATTTTTGCTCTTTATTCCTTTTTATCAAGGTTCTTTTTCTAAAGTTGTTTTACCTTTACATTGCTTTAAAAATAAATTTATGTATATTTCTATTGTTCTTAAACTTATTTCCTTTTCTTCAAACTAACTTTTTTATTCAGTTTAAAGTAAGTAAATAAGATTACATAAACAAAAAGATTTATATGTTAATGTACTATAATTGATTCCATTTAGAAAGTTTTGTTCAAGTTTTAGCTGTCAATGTCAGTCAGATTCTGATTTAAATAGACCTCTCTAATGTTTTGTAAATGTATATAAGTGCATACTTCTCTCTCCTATTGTTATAAGAACAAGAAATAGCGTATTTCAAAGAGGGGAGCTTCACTCTTCCCTGATTCTCTTTCTCTTGTCGATCCAAGCCAAAAAGCTATCTTAAATATTGACCCAACTTGAAATAGTTAATAATAATTATAGTCACCGCTACAGACAAATGGGGAGGGAAGTTCTTTCCATAGACAGACAATACATTTTTATGCATTTCCTCTTCAGAAAAATCTCTTCATACAATGATGTTGTTAGGAGAGCAACTGTTGAATGAATTTCATGAAATATTGAATAATGAATGAAATATAAACAAGGTTGAATATATGATGAATTTAATCCCTACTGTAATATTAGTCGATATTTATTTTAAAAAATTGAGAGTTTGCTGCTGTGGTATTTACCAAATAATGTGTTCACATAATTCATAAAACATTGTTGCCACTTTTCATTTTTGGCAAGCTTATGTGTGACTGTTGCAAGAAGATGTAGATATATTTGTGTATAGATATGAATTTAGTAAAGAGTTCACTGCAAAAATTTCTATTTTGATATTTCTTCTTAAAATTTTGTATTGTTTTTACTATGACTTGTGATGTTTTTTGTACATTTCACAATTTTTATAATTTTTTATTGTGATATGCTCGTATATGTTTAATCTAGATTATACTGGAATTCTCGATGCCTGAAATTCATTTTATTTCTTTTAACATTTTGAATCAGTCAGACAACTAGACTTACAAACTAGTTTTTAAAATGTAAAAAAAAATAATACTTTTATTTTATCAAATATACTATGTTATGCCTCATTGTACTTGAATGATGGGAATGATATTTACCAATTTAACATGAACTTTCTGAATTTATTATAACAAAACGCTGATTTTTTTAATGTATATATTGAAAAGTTTGGAAAACTAAACTTCAGTATAATTTTTTAAATAATATTAATATACTATAAATAATATAACTTGCTAAATATTGGTTAACAAAATTAAAATATGCATCCAACATTTTAACTTTAACACATTTTATCTGTAACTTTTTAACATTTTATCCTTTTAGTTCAAATCAAAATGCTTATTTTATGTTAAGCATACTTTTTTTATTTTATGTACTTACCTTTTAAGTTATTGAGCTACTTGATCAAACTTTTTCCTATCAAGTAGTGTAACCCTATTGAACACATTTTTCTGTGTTAAAAAGCTACAAATTTTACTCCAGGCAAGTTTTCAAACGTTTAAAAAGTTGAATTTATTTTGTTTGAATAAGACTACTTTATGTTAACATTAAGACTAATGTTCTTAAATTTAAGACTAATGTTCTTTTACTATCTCTTAACTATGAGATAATAAGAGCTTTTCATGTTTAATTTTTTTTGTGTGTGTTATTTTTTATTCAATAGGTTTTTATTATTAGTGATTTAATTTACAACCAATGTTTTATGAGAACTTATAGCAAAAAAATTTTTTCTATTAACACCAAAAAAGAATTTATGTATTTCAAACCATTAAAAGTAAATTTTTTTATGATAAGTAACTATGATAAGTAATTGATATTTTAGTATCATCTATACTTATAAATTTGCTAATTAAGCTCAATTAGTTAGTTAAGATAGTAATTAAATGCTCAAACATAGACTGATTTTAATACCATTTATTGACTGAAAAAAAGTTTTAAATTCATAATATTATAAACATATTTCTATATGTTAAAATATCAATTTTAAACAATAACTAATTGAAAGTATCATTGATATAAAGAAAATATGTACATATTTTCTTGGCTCATGGCTTGATAATTTAAGTGGATCTATTTCAATATTTTACTTCAAATATGTATTGGAAGTTACCTATGTAATTTTAATAATGTCTTCCTTTGTGAAAAGTACATAGTTCTTCGAAATTCTTCTAACAATACGGATTTACCATGTTGTTAGAAAATTATTTTTAATTTTGAAAAAAAAAATTTCTTTCCATAATATTTTTTATCTAAATTGTTTTATAAAACCAAGTCAAAATTTCAACCTATTTAAATCTTTATAATTTAGCCTTTTTTAATAAACAAAAATTAACCTTGAAGTGCCGTTGACCAATCAACAAACTAGTTTTTATTATACTCAAAATTAACAAGTTATTACACAGTGTTTAATTTTAAAAAAAGACTTCTATGTTTTATTTAAAATAATCAGCAATTGATATTGATAACTGTTTTCTATCAAATGTCTCTATGTTTTATTTTTTGTGTGAAATCGGTGATTGAGTGCCAAAAATCCTACGAATTAAATAAAAGTGCTAGTTTATTTTTTTTTTAGGTTGGTATGAAATTATCTCCTGACAATTAAGTTTGTTAAATTTGGTTAATTTTTTCAATAGTTAAGAATTGCTAAAAAAAAATTTAGTCATATTAAATAATAAAATAATAAGCAATACAAAGTATTTTTATAGCACCTAAAATGTGTTTTAGTTTATTAGATTAATATCTCAACTAGTGGAGGTTTACTTTAATATCAAAGTGTCCATTTTAGAAGTATCCTAGTGTAAAAGCTTATTATTACAGTATGTAATAGTATAATGGGTAGTACTGTAATAATAAGCCATTATTTTTGGATACTCCTTGGCCACAATTTTCCCACCAACCTGATATTATGGCATATTTCATATGTTTTCTTCATTATATTCAATAAGCTTATTTTCAAATTTGTGTTATTTAACCAGTTAGTTATATATCTGTTCCTAGGGCTGGACCTTATTGCTTTCAGCTGCTCCTGCCAGGTATGTTAGATTGGAGATGATTAAAAAATAAATTTTTCAAAATGAAACTTCAGCAATTATTTAAACTTAGGAAATGAAGCAAAATTATAAGCTATTTGTGTCGAAGTGAACTTATTTTAATTTTTATGAAGCTCTATACTGTCTTTCAATGTATATTCTCTCCCCTCTGGAAAAAAAAATGCAAACCTTATCTTAAATTTTCTTTTTCAAGCACAATTTTTTTAAATAAATATAGCTGATTTTATAGTTAAAATGTCTGTGTCTTAAGCTATAAATAACTTTTATAGTTTACTATCTATTAAGTTTTTGGTAAGCTATTTTAAATTGTATCTAAATTTTATTTCTGAGAATTGTTCAATGCAGTTTCTATAAACTATTTCATTGTAGTTTGTTTTTTTGTAACATAACTAAATAAATCTTGACACACTTTCAAAAATATATATTAAACACTTCATTTTTAGCCATTTGTTCCACAAAGTTCATTTAGTAATTAACTTGAGACAAACTCCTTTTACATGACTCTTCATCTGTACTATATTTCATACTACTATCATTTTTATTAATTCTGTCATATAAGTTTTTTATTCCAAATATATCATTTCATTTTTTAATCAGGCTCAATTACTAACGTTTATTTTCTGGTTCATTTCTATATAATTCAAAACTATTTTGGATTCAATTTCTGCTTTTGTTTGAAAGTTCTATTTTAAACTATATCAACTTCTGAGTATTTTTTATTGCAGAATAATTAAAGTTCTCCCTTGTAAATGAAAATATTAGTTGCCTTTTGGTATTGATTGCATTTTCATCAAAATTTGTTTTGTAAACTGTCGAAAATGTATTCGATGTTTGTATATGGTTCTGATGACTTTTTCTTCTTTTTTGAAGAAAAAAAAACACAAAGTTTTACAGTGTAAAAAGAAGTTAATTAATATTGTAAAAAACATCATTGTAAAAGTTATAAAGTGCTTTTAGTGTAAAAATTGATGCCATTTCTTTCTGTACATTTGCTTCACTATACTTCGCTTATTGAAATGTGCAATGTTGTGTTTTTATGAAAATTCATCATTATGTGTCTGATATTTTTCTCCATATTTTTAATATAATCTAGACTTATCTTAATTTATTATATAGGTAAAAAAACGAAATGCTGGCATTTTCATCAATTTATATCTGTATATAATGTCCTGTCCTTTTTTTACTTTGAAAAACAAAATGCTGTGTTGTTTGTAAGCGAGAGATCCTTTCTCTAGTCATGTGCGGTTGTTCTGAACTTTAATAAAAAATATTCCTTATTCATTGTGTTTTGATCTCTTATTAAATACTTCATAAGTCATGAGATTTTAGAAAGAGCACATTTTATTTGACTGTCTAAAATTTGTTCAAAAGTGAACTAAAATGTCCAAAACTTACAATTATAAAAATTCTTTAAAATCTAATTGTGAGCGTTTGCTAAGATTATCCCCAAAATACCCAACTTGAACAGATGGGTGCCAGATGGAAAACAGAAAAGAGGCCGGCCGAAACTGTCCTACAGACGATTGGTGATAAAGGGAAGAAACATCCTGAGATGGTCCAGTTGGGGAAATGTAATGGAAGTGACTCTTGGTCTTGACCGGCAGGTATGGAAAACCGAAGTTATGGCTTCATGCACCATCTGGCGTAAAAAGAATTAGTTAAATAGTAAGTGTGATTGCCTGCTGTTATGTTGATCACAACGGTACTTTTGATTCTAATTATAGCTGAGTTCACTGATAAGGCATTTTCTTGGCATAAGAAATTAAATTATATTTCCTCAGTTAATGAGTATAAATAGACAATAAAATGCATTTAAGTAAATTTATGTATGTTAACATAATTTTATTATGAATTAGAAATCTTAAAAGTAGATTAAACTTTAAATTCAAGTTTAATGTTAGTAAGATTAGAGATCCATAAATTTTAGTCACTTCTCTTCCGTTGATTTCTTAATGCTATTAAAAGTAAAAGAAAACCCTTGCTCTTACTGTCTAAACCAGGGGTAGGCAACGCGGCGCCCCCGATCTATTTTTAATGCGCCCTCGCTGGACTAATGTAAATGTATGATAGCCAGAGCGATTTACTTAACTCTTGTCAAACGGCGATATACAGCAAGTAGTCAGTTGAGTTTAGGATTGTGCATGATTATCTGTAAAATATGCGCCCTCGGTGATTTTCAAATTTAGTATTGCGCCCTTAAGGACAAACAGGTTGCCGACCCCTGGTCTAAACACTTCTAATTTTCAGTTGAAGAAAATTCCCTTATACCTACTCGCATATAAGCATACAATGCCTGATTTATCTTAAGGCCTTAAAGTTACAAATAATTCCTTTTGTGTTTTTCCTTAAGAGTTGTCTATTAGAGTTATGAGTTAACAAAAATTTAAATAAGTATAAAAACTCAAAATTGCTAGTAAATCGTAATTCAATTGTGTTATTAATAATTTTAAAACACTTCATAATTTAACAACATGTAAATTTAGTTTAACGACAAGGGGATCCCTGACATTTCTGTGCCTAGGGCTCCCGCTTTTCTAGATCAGGCCCTGTAATGAACCCTATCTCCCTTGAAAAATAACGTATCGTTTTGTGAAAAAGAATTTGGTATTGTTACATGACACCATAGAACAAATGATTTCTTAACACGTTCACGCCGGTGGGTCACGCTATATTGTCTCATCTTGGCAGCGCACCGGAGTAAAAACTGGTAACAATAAATTTCATTTTTTAGTTTTTTTCCGAGAAAAATAAAAATCCATGAGTACCAATTGTTTTTAACGGATGCAATTTTTATATTGAATTGCTTCTTCGCCGTGATAAATTTCCTTACAGTGAATTGTTATTGTTGAGATTAGATCAACTACTCCCGAATATTATCTAATATTGAAATAGTTCTTCTACCAGTATTTTCACTTTTCCCGGCGTGAACGTTTTAAGAAAAACATTGCCGCTAAGCGTTTCTGGTCTTCCAATAAGAGGTTCTCTTTTTCAACTTGAGTAAATTTCAATGAGTGAGTCAGACTACCGAAGAAATTTTAATGTTATATCGGAAAGAAGATAGCTAGTGTAGACAAGTGCAATATTTCAGTTAAAGAAATAATAAATGCATTCGCATAAAAAGAACAAGGTAAAAAAATAAATTCCCCCTTCATTATGAAAAGAAATTCATGGAACCCGTACTGACTTCTGCAGGCAGTAAAACTAACTACGTTTCGAGAGTAGGATTCGTTTTTAACATAGTTAATGCAGAATAATAATGGCGAACGAGCTCAGCTCGTCAGCGCGCATTGGGGAGAAATTTCACTTCGCGAGTAGTGCTCGTTACTAACCATTACGGTCGAAATCTTGCTCCCGAGCGGAACTTGTTTGCGCGCATTATGAAGCACGATTCGACTGCGAGCTGAACTCGTTCATAACCGTCAAAGGGTTAATAATAAGCTGATTAAAAATGTTTAACTGCCAATTTTTACATCTTTTTTTCAGATTTTATCTTTTTATCGGTTACCACTTCTTTCACTTTTTGGTGCAGGAAGCAGCTTTGAAATTACAAAACAATCGAGTACACAACTGGATATATTTATTTCGAAATACAAAGCATGGTTAATGCGAACTCCTTTAAAAAAAGTTTTTTTCTTACTTTATCAAACCCTTGTTTATTTTTTCAAAGGCAATGCGAACTCTTAGTTCATTTATAATTCTCAGAGATAGCAACCACTCCCCTCTTCTTAGAATTTTTTTTTTAAGTTGCACATATTTAACCCATTAATGCTTAGCGTTCGTAAAAAATCGCAACTCCTTTTTTTCTCACAAATGAAAGAAGTGATAGTTGATCTAAGTTAAGTGTTTTAATATTAAGATTTATTTAAGACACCAGATAATTCTATTTACTGGGTTACCACAGGNAAGAAATTTTAATGTTATATCGGAAAGAAGATAGCTAGTATAGACAAGTGCAATATTTTTTGTTAAAGATATAATAAAAAATTCAGTAAATAATTCGGGGACCGTTGAGCCAGAATGAAGAAATTCTTCAAGGATGATGGTAAAATACAAATCCTACATATATGTATGTAATATATATAAGACTGTAAATATAAATGTCGTGGCAATATAAAAATAAATATTTTTACTTCAATTTTCTAACAATATAAGCCTATGAATTATTTAGTAATAGTGGTGGATAAAAATCTACTAAATTTAATTTATTAAACCAAGAATCACAATTGATAAACTACCACTTTAAAATATATATTTGCTGTCCGGAGCAAGTTGGCATCTCTGTAAGTGCTGTTATATGCATTCGTTCATGTGTCAAATTGACGCGTGTTCGTAAACCTCTAGTGTTTAAAAACCCTTTGTAGTAAATTCTAAATGAAGATTTTTCTTTCAAAAATATTTTCAGAATGTTGCTTATGAGAAAAACTAAATCATCATTGAATAGAATGCGAGAAAAGATATACAAAGCCACCGCTTTGGATTCTCTGTAGGTTGTGAGACCATCTTAGAACCTAAAATCAATATTGTCATAAAAGGAGCTATAAATTTCATTTTATTAGCGTTAATTTTAAAACTTGAAACACAGTGATGATACTTGTGCCTAAAGTTGTTAATAGTGATAGAAACTTGATTAATTTTCTCTATCTAACTATGCATTGGATTATCAATGATGTAAGTTCCTTAACATCTTCCTTGCATTCAAATTTAACCCTTTGACGGTCAGGGATATGAGCAGTTTTCGTTTCATTAATTCGCACAGTATTAGGAGCAGTTGTCGAAAGTGGCAGCTGTTTTACTCCGCCGTTCTTCCGAAAATGTCACCCTTCTCTGGCAATGCCAACTGCTTTGCTTTCTGGAATTGTTATAATAAAGTGGTAGCAAATTATGTAGTAAAATTCGTCGGAGAAGGACAGTTACGCCTACTTTTTAATTGAGTAACCAGTAGATTGTTCTTTTAACGTTGTTTTTTTATATGATACTTATAATTTTTGATATTTAGTGGTAAAAAATTACTTAAGAGAAAAAATACTAAACTGAAAGTAACTTGAATTTCGCTACCTCTAGAAAATACTATTTAACAAAGTGGTGCCGTAGATAGCTCGCCTTACGCTGTTTAAAAATTTCTTAAGTCATTTGTAGTACATAAATAACAGTTTTTACGCACTTTAAAATATTAAATGATAATTATTAATAGTAAATAATAAATGATTATAATCAATTATATAAATAATAGTTAATTATAAATAAGACAAATATTAAATTGAAAGGACTAAATAAATACAACTAATGTAAAACTTTATGAAGCATTTAAATACAGTAATTACCTAAATACTTTGAACAAAGTCTACATCAGACTCAAAACTTGATAAGCTTTCTGTATCATAATTATCTAACTTTCGCTTTTCACCCATTTTACTTTACAAACACCTTAAAAAACGCTTCAAAATACGCATAAAAAGAACAAGGTAAAAAAATAAATTCCCCCTTCATTATGAAAAGAAATTCATGGAACCCGTACTGACTTCTGTACAGGGATGAAAGCGAGACGGAAACGAGGAAAGGCTGGTAGTAAAACCTTTCCAGTTATAGCTAATTTTGGGGATGAGTTTACTTATTCTTTTTTTAAATTTTTCATCAATATCTACCTTATCTTGGAAAAGAAGCAGTTTTATATATATGCCAGAATTATAAAAGAAATCTTGATAGTTACAGATATTTCATTTTTTTCGAAAAAGATGCTGGAATGAAATGTTTTACGTACCAGGTTTTTCTCTTTTCCGTCTTGCTGTATAAGGGCATATCTGCCAACTTTTACGCATTTGGCGTAAAATTTCATTTTCACATTTAAAGTGGTAGTAAATATATGCTATTTTTTCTTTTATAAACTTAATTTTTAAATGATTTTGATCACCACTATTCTTAAAAAGATTAAGAACATATATTAATGTGTGTTTCTATCATGGCTGCCACTATTTGGGTATCACTATAAACTGCACCCTAAATTGGAAATATCACGTCTCTAATATACTTAAAAAAGCTGAAGCTGCTTATCAAGCTTTGAAACCCATTTTAAATAGCTATAGCAAAATGGCTTTAAACACGAAAAGGCACATTTATCTAATGTGCATAAGACCAATCCTCAGCTATGCATCCCCGGCATGGGGGACGCTTACAAATACACAAAGAAAGAGACTCAGAGTCTTCGAACACAAAACCCTAAGACGAATCACTGGGGCTCCCTGGTTTGTCAGAAATAACACCCTCTATAATGACCTCAAAATCGA